CCCTGCAGGTCCAGCAACACCACGCACAGCAGCAGCTTCGCTTTTCTGAAGCCGGCGTCACACTACAGGACTCGACACGACTTCTAGTCGGAGAGCACGACAAATTTAACGACTGCAGTTGCCCAAACTCGCTGCCTGTTCTGTCTTAGAGGGTGTCAAACGATACGATTAGGAATCGCAGGGGGTGGCCAATCACGATTCCCTCATGACTTTTCATCGCAGTTCCGGATCTCGTCTTGCGCCGCGAAAGTCCCGCGAGGTCGCCTCATTTGGGCAGCCAATCACCGTGGGGCACAAGAGGAGCCGCGCACGAAAGGAAGCAAACAACATGGAGTACAAGCACGTAAACATCTTGAGAAATGTGTAGATGTTTTCCACAAATAAACATCTTCAAAAATATCATTCTTCTTTATAAATCAAGAACAAATTTACAAAAATAAAACAGTTAAAAATACAAAACACTTTTAAAACAAATACTGTTAACAAATTAGCACCGCGCTATAATGTGTAACATAACGGGCACAGTATCTCACAAGTACACATCTGGCTCACTGCCCACCCCTGCGATTCGCTACGAGAAAAATCAAACCAGTTTGATTCTCTCGGACTCGCAACGATAAAGTCGCAGGGACTGTTAAGAGCGCTGTGACCGAGTCTCTGGGGGTGTCACACTACACAACTGAGGGTAACGGGCTCGCGCTGCGAAAAATCCTAGGAAAAGCCGTGTAGTGTGACACCGGCATCGGTGATCTCCCACCCCAGCAGTGACCAGGCCCAGCCTGCTGAGCCCTCTGAGGCCCATCATGATCAGGCTGCAGGCTGGCAATGCTGCTGCTGTCCCAACAGGCCAACAAGACACAATTCTCTCCTGGCCTCCGTCCTTTAACCGAACTTTGCTGCCTTCCTTACTAGAAAAACTTTTGAGCTGCCAGACGCGAAGCAGAGAGGACAAGACGGGCAGTATTTTCTCCTCCCTGGGCTCTGCCTTTCTCGCAGTGATTAATGCCCCCCGCCAAAGCGATGCTATCGCCCTAGAGCGAAAATGAGCCCTTCTTCGTTTAAAACCCAGAGTCGCGTCTCTTAAACCTGGATTAATTAACGCTCATGCTACTTTAATTAAAACCACCCCGCACGATTCCGATCGCCTTGCCTTTTAATTATTCCGCAGCCTGTCCGTCTTATCAGGAAGAGAAGAAAACAGCTGAGCAAGTCATTTTTTTTGTTATTAGCATTATTTTTATTACCCTGATCACCTCGATTGCTATGCACAGTAATGGCGCTGCTCATCCAGGACTTGCTATGTTTTTTTTTAATCGTTTCGCTGTCTTATTTATTAATGTTGTATTTGGCCGCATGGTCTAAACCGCTCTTGCATCTGAAGGACGAAACGAAAGTCTTAATTGCTTCACGTAAAGGGTGTGCACTGATGTCTACAAGCTAACGCGCTGTAAGAGATGTAATTAACAAGACTAATGGTTTTGGTTCACGCTAACGAGGCAGTGTGATAGCTCTCGGCTTTGCGTAAGCAATCCTTTTTAATTTTGCAGGAACACGACAAACTCCAGGAATTAGGATGGTGCTTTAACGGGAATGAAGGAACCCAGACTGAAGACCTATTACTTCAGCCTAGCCTGCTCACACCTTACATCATAGCCTGCTGCAACCATGGCTGCTGGTGCTGCTGTCCCGGCCATTGTGTATCTCTATGCTGGCCCACCAGGTAAATACATCTGTTCTGACCCAACTATCTTATTCTGCTCTCCACCTGTCCAGATGGCGCCCGGGCTGGGCCCCTTCTGAGTTGGATGCTGGATCACTGCCATGGATCCGAGAGAGACATCGTGGATATAGCTATCATTTAGGAGGATTTTGCTGGTCTACAGAGATCTGGATGGAGTACTGACATACAGAAGACATGATGGATGGATTAATACCCCCCATTCATTTATTTCCTTTTCTTAAAATTATATAATGTTAGCATGCCCAAAGGGGTTGGGTAGCCAGTTGACCTTGGACCCCTAGAGGTTTTTGGTTCCTCTCCTCCATTGTCTTTTAGTCTTCTGTTCTGTATTCACAACATGTAGGGTCACTTGCATTGTTAAGCGCCCTGGGGCGACCTTGTTGTGAAAGGCGCTATATAAAAATAAATGGAATTGAACGGAACCCTTAAGCCCACGATCCACACTCTGCTTTTCAGAGCCCAAAACAGATTCATGGTCTTTCCAGGGTCCAGAGGCTTGCAGGTGAAACTCGACTAGGCCATCACAGATGATTCAGGCATGCTGGACACCAGTCTCCACTTCGGCTCTGGGTGGGTAGAAGCCAAATACTGGCAGGCGTATGTTAATTATACTATGATTTTTAATGTAATTTTTACTGATGCTTTGTCTTGATCAGTGAGGAAATACTGACCATGTACTCAACCAACCTGTTTAATTATTGGGGGCTGGCCATTCAACAGGGGTGACGTATGAACATTATCAAACCTAGAGGCTGTAAGGTTGTAGGACAACTACGATAACTACTGTATATGGACAAACCCCAGCCTCCACATTGCATCAGAATGACTGAAGGGGTAAAACCTGCACAGCACAGAGAAGGACCCTTTTTCCAAGACACTTCTAAATACAGAGCCTCACTGCCAGTTCCAGAACAGCAAAATACCAGAGGGGTACAGCAAAGCACATCAGCCCCAGCTAAAGTAACAGTAAAGCACAGTGCCCACAATTCCAACCTGATCATTGCCAACACTAAAAACCAAGGCTGCTGCTGGAAGAGCTATTAGAGGGGCCAGTAGGGGGCACTCACCCTGCAGTCTGTGTGGGTCCTGATGCCCCAATATAGCGACTGGGGACACTATACTGTAAAAAGGTGCTGTCCTTCGGATCGGACGTAAAACCGAGGTCCTGACTCTCTGTGGTCGTTAAAAATCCCAGGGCGTTTCTCGAAAAGAGTAGGGGTGTTACCCTGGTGTCCTGGCCAAATTCCCCATTGGCCCTTACCAATCATGGCCTCCTAATAATCCCCCTCTATGAACTGGCTTCATCCCTCTGCATCATCCAGGTGGGGCTGCACACTGGTGGTGGTGGAGGGGATCCCCATTACCTGTAAAGCGCTTTGAGTGGAGTGTCCAGAAAAGCATGTATTGATACAAGTGTACCAACATAAATGTAAGGAATTATTATAATAATTATTATTATTAATAATGACAGATGGGCGAGGAGTACCCCTCTGCAGGAGAAGAAAGAATCAGAGTCCAGGCTTCATTTCAGCTGACGTTTTAAGGCACCATACAGCAGCATGAGAGGAAGAAAACCTTTTTCTCGCCTGTTTCCCCTGGCAGAGCTCTCTTTACAGCTGGAGGACAGAAGTTTCAATTCCTGTTCCCCACAGCCACCTCTTCCAGCAGCCAGATGACTTTCCTCTCCCGTCTTTCTGTTCTCGAGAACTGAATTTGTAGCTATCTGCAGTCTACACATTACATCAGAATCACAAGGTCGTATTGTTAACCACGAAGTGTTGGAAACATAAATGACTGTTTACAGGTGCGAGATCGTCTGTGCTTCGAGTAAAGGCATGACGTGTTGTAATTGCAATAATTATGAGATCTTCATGGTGTTATACAATACACTGCTCCTGTGTTTCTTACTGGAAACAGGGATATTATGAAAGAGTGTCGATGGGTTTTTTTTCCCCCCAACACTTGAAATTGAGTCAGGCACTGACTGGGCCTTGCAGCTGAAGCAGGCAGATGAGTGTCCTTCCACGTGAGCAGGCGGTGTGTGTGTGCACCTCCTCGGCACAGGGAGCGCGCATTAACAATCAAGAGCAGCTGACTACAGCGGCCTGCGCAGTTGCCAGGGGTCGATCTGTCCCTGGGGACGCGCGGCCTCGTCCTTCTCCTGCCACCAGGGGGCGGAGCGGTGGCTCTGTGGCTCAGGATCTGTGCCTGTGGCTGGAAGGTTGCTGGTTCGAATCCCACAGCCGGCAGAGGAATCCTACTCCGTTGGGCCCCTGAGCAAGGCCCTTAACCCCAGCTGCTCCAGGGGCGCCGTATAAATGGCTGACCCTGCGCTCTGACCCCCAGCTTCTCTCCCTGTCTGTGTGTCTCATGGAGAGCAAGCTGGGGTCTGCGAAAAGGCAAATTCCTAATGCGAGAAATTGTACAGGGCCAAGAAAGTGATCTGATCTGATCTTACCTTACCACCCTGCTCACTCGCCCCTGGGTGCCCAGCTCCTGCCCCACGGACGGGGAGAACTCGGGGCGTGGGGGCTCCCCGCTGGGGGCTGGGGCAGTGCTGATCTGGGGGGAGTGCTTGGCTTGTACATCAAGGCTTTTTGACTGAAATGAAAGCCACCCCCCCCTCTTCCACCTGTCGCCAGGAGAAAGGATTTCTTCATACAGAACCCCGAGTCTGGGCCCCCCCCTTTCCAAACCTGACATCACCGCTCCCACCTCATTAATTGGAATAAGCAGGGAATGATGGCTAGACGGTGGAAATGATCCCTTTCATGCATGAGCTGCAGCACACGGTTGAAGATGACAGGTTTTAAATAGCAGTGGACACGTGCAAAAAAAACAACAACATTTCAATTGATTTTTTCCTCTCTTTTGTTTTCTAAGGGGGCAACCTTGTACGAGACCATTATGCAGCAAAGACGAGCCGCGTGGACTCGAGAATTGTACTAACAGCAAATTCTGCTGAAACCCAAGAGGGGTGGCAGCTGTCAGAACGTGCGGACTTTGTGCACGGCACCTGCAGTGTAACACAAGCTGGGGAGACCATCCCAGAAGTCAGATGGGCCCTATGTCACGTGATAGATCCGTCCTGGTCATACTGGGGAGGGTAAGGGCAAAGCCCCGCTCTCCTGCTGAAGCGGTCTGGCTCCTAACCAGGAACCCCCAATCCACTCCCAACAGTCCCAGCCACCCCCTCCCCCCCCCAAACCATTAAAGGGTTAACTCCGAGCGGGTCCTACCTCTCGATGATGTCAGCAATAGTGCAGGCGAACATCTGCAGGCCCTCTGGCATCTGGAGAGCAACTGGAACGAGAGGAAGGGGTGTGAGGGAATGTGGATAGGGCCACGGGGACGTGGAGGGGAGAGGGATGCTCATTTTCATAGGGCAGGCCAGTATTGACAGGTAGCAGGTGGGATACACTGTGCCCGGTAGATCTAGCTAAATAAGCACACATTGGCGTTTGCACAACACAACGACAAGCTAGAACGATCTGCCAGAATGAAGATCTGACTACAGCGCAGTTAAAACGCCCTTTGGATACTGCACGTTGTACGAGCCGATTATACTCAGGAGCTGTGCTCAGGAGGAGCTACTGAGCACAGCAGATTACAAGACCCGCCAGCAAACGCAGAGTTCATCAGCCACTATATAGCTATACTGCAGTATAGCGTATGCACTGATTATGGGCTAATGCCTACCCGCTGGGTAAGGCAGAAGACTCACAACATGCAGGCTTACCAATACAACACCAAAGCCAACAGCACAGGAGAGGACAAAGGATCTGCTGTGCAGAACGGCGTCTACTTCATAGCATATTCACACTGGCAACAGCCCACAGGATTAGCACTTAAGACTATCCAGATAGGTAGTCAACTTGAGTGAAGTGCCTTGCTCTAAGGTACAACAGCAAAGACTCACCTGGGACAATCCACAATCTTCCAGTTATAAGTCCCTAAGCACTGCTCTGCACAACCTCCCCACTACTGAAGATTAATGGTTTCTGTTTAACATTATCGAAGGCCATGTATTAGCTCCTGAAGGCCATGTGATAGTGCACGACTGGATTAGCAGGATGGTACCAGGGAACGAGACTGAGACTCCCACCAACAGTATTATTTGGACAGTGACACAATTTTTGCTGTTTTCGGGACTGTGTATAAAAAGGGCTAAGATTCCTATATGGTTCACCCAATATAGACATAATTACCCTAGAACTAAAGCTTTAATTCTACACTTTAACCTCTTAGCAACTGTTTCATTTCACATCTAATGTGATGGAGTACAGAGTCAAAACATCAAAAATTGTGTCACTGTCCAGACTGCACTGTAGGTCTATCACAGGTTTTACCAACTACTGGTTCTGGTCTATCAGCCAACACTAAGTATTAGTCAAGCTTATTACATAGTAACAACACAGTCAGTGAATATGCACAAGGATCAAGCAGAGATAATTACTAAATACATTTGCTCTTCGGCTTCATCGGTGCAATTTATGCAAGAACCTCAGTTCATAAAAGGGTGAAACAGATTGGACTCCTATCGCACAGCAGTTTGATGGGTCCCCTACTACACAACGGGGACGTGCTACCACAGCTGTGGCTGTAGGAGGAGTTCAGCACTGTCGCTGTGCCTCTGCAGCTCTCTCTGTGCCTGTGTGACACTGAGTCACCAGCTCTCACCCGCCTCCCCGATCTCGCTCTGCTCCACCCGAGCAGCCTCACAGGCCCTGCTCTCAGCTCCAGCACACTTCATGGAAATTGTCAGTCGAGAGCTGATCACAACAGACCTGCACGCTCGACAAACGGTTATGGGGGAAACATACCTGTGAGCCAACACCTCTCATCTCGACCCTGCTCTGCAGTTTAGTTCCCCGTGTCGGAGGTGCAGTCGCACTGGGTCCTGTCCTTTCCTCTTACTGATGACTCCCCCTGCATAGCGCTTGAATCCATTTCAGGTTTGACCAGGTTTTGCAGACTCTGATACTGGTTTCACTCATAAGGCAGAAATGCAGACATATATACCCGCGATGCTGTTTTAACCCATCTGTCTGTTCAAATTTACTCACGAGCCAGGAGTCTGAGACAAGAGCCCTGAAACACTGTGTCTGTGAGTTTATCCCCTCTTAGGGCAACAACCTGATCTTGAGAGCACAGCAGTCAGAGCCACCCACGGTAAGTGGGCTGAGGGGCTGCCGGGGGGCACAACTGGAAAAGAGGAAGTGCATTTAAAACTGAGACCAGGAGGCACTTTACACCAAGAGTTGCAGGAGTCCAGCAATGGCTGGATGAGAGCAATGAGCTGCTCCCTACTAAACAGGCCAGGGGGTCAAAACGCCCTGCACTTGTGTGTGACCCATCTGCGTGCGTACGTCCGTGAACACAGCACTGCGGGGGTTTCACAGGATTAATGACCCGTATTTATATTGGAGCAGGACACTACATGAGGGGCTCAACGTCTCTCCTGAAATTTTTAATCCTCTATTTCCGTAAAAAACCTGGAACAGCCGGGCTTACACAGACCCCAGAAACAGAATCGGCACCACAGCTGCAATATCAGGCCAGAGGCCCTCATGCTCCCGCCATGCTCGTGCTTTAAACTGGGTGCCGGTTTCTGTTCTGGAGGGGTGAGCAGGCCTCTGACCCCCCCAGGCAAAGCCTGAGTGAGGTGGGTAGCTGTCCACCACACCTCCCCGCATCAATCAATATTTTTCCATTAACAGAGCAGAAATGACAACATGTTGTTTGTCTTAATGTTTATTTTTTTTTGCCAAGTACAAACCTATAAATGCTATTTCTCCAGTTGTGCAAACTTGTTAAAACATCCATTTTAAACCACCCCCACTTGATAAAACATCCCTTCTTCTTACAGTGAAAAACATTTTAAAAATCGAATTAAAAGCCTTAAAATAATTCAGAGTGAATAATGGCTTTGCTGCTACCAGAACAGTACCCTGAACCCAAGCAAACAAAGCCATTGAGGAACATTCCCATTGACAACAACTGCCCTCCCTCTTCCTCTCCATGTGGAGCTCCACACACACTCACACACACACAAACTCACAAGGCTTCAGCAGTGAAATCGGAGGATGCCCAAACGATGCTGAAAATCCTTGACAGTATGCCCCAGCAAATAAACCCACCAATAAAAGATCTATTCCGAGTCCTTCAAAAGCATCGCAATTGAAGACCGATCTTAAAAAAAAAAAGGAACAGGAAATGAAAAATCCTTGATTTTATGTCCTGTTGTACAAGATGACTCAAACAAAAGGGACTTGAAATCCTGTGAATAAAAAAAAAACAAACGGAGAGGCTTCTGCCAGCATTCCTGGCAGAAATACACCATCTCTAACACGAGTGTCACAGACGGGAGAAAGGACCTGAATCTCCCGAGGAGGACCTGGACGAGTATTCCGAACCTGGAGAGGTTTCAGCCTGAGGGTTGGGCAATGAAACCTTCGCTCAGGAATGAAACAGGGAGCTGAGGGCAGACGTGGAAACCGGGAGGAAGCACGTGTTTACACAGAGAGTGGCGGCTGACTGGAACTCCGAAGGAAAGGGCGGAAGCAATCAGATCGATACCGGGCTATCATTCAAACAAA